ACAAAACCCTATGAAATTGATGGGTTGTCATAAAACAAGAGGTGACTTGAAGGCACACAAACATGCATGTGTTTTAATATGCTTAAATACCCTAAAGGTACCAGATCCTGCCAAATGCACAATGGAGAACCTTCTTGCAGCAACACCAGAGGCACTCCAAGGGGCCAGCTACTGGTCAAAGGACATTTAATAGAATACCAAGTCTGCAAACTTTGTGTTTTGTTTGTTTGTTTGTTTGTTTTTAATGCAATACAACTGTTTTGGTTTGCTCCTGACACGATAAACAAATAAACCAGATCCTGTCCAATCTTGGAAGTTAAGCAGAGGAAGCCCTGGCTAGGCTATATTTCAAAGGAAGGAACTAGCTCTAAAGTCTTCCTTGCCTAACAAAATCCTATGAAATTCATGGGGATTGCCCATAAATCAACAAATAACTTGAAGGCCCATATACACACTAGACATGTGCATTCAGAGGAAACCTAGTCCTGTTTCATGTCACAGCTTTCATTGGTGCCTAACCCTAAACCGATTCATTTATTGTAAGCCTCCCAAAATTGGGAGGGTTTTTTTTTTGTTCTTTCATTTCAGAGCCCAAAAATTGGACCATTATTGAGGGGGAGGGGCTTCCCACCCACTGACACCCCAGTGTGTGTTCTTCTTACCTGGCACCTGCTGTTTCTACTCTTAGAGCAAGAGGCGCTTGGCTGTAGGTGCTGGCAGGTGTGCATGCTTTCTGAGCCTGTCTGCCTAGCCCTCCACACACACAGTCTCCTTGGAAAGAGAGTGTGTGTGTGGCGGGGAGTGCAGGCAGACCCAGAACGCACGCATGCCTCCAATTGCCTCCAGCCAAGCACCTCTTACTCTAGAATAAGAGGTACTCAGCTGCAGGCATGCTCCATCCTGCATGCATGCCCTGCCACACATGCCCCATCAAATTCTCCGAGAGTTCACATGTGGCGGGGCATGCATGCAAGCCTGGAGCGTGCCTGCAGCCAAGCTCTGGGCCTGACTGTCTSCATACCCCTGCCACACATGTCCTGCCACACTCTCCAAAAGTGTGTATGTGGTGYGGTGTGCGGGCAGGCTTGGAGCATGCCTGGTGCTGAGCTCCAGGTCTTCCTGCTTGCACACCCCACCACACACACACACACACACACACACACACACACACACACACACATTCTTTCCAAGGCAAGGAAGCAAGGCTTTCGTGTTGAGTGGATTTTCATGTTGGAAGGGGACTTCCTCTTTCYTGCTTCCGAAGAAAAGCAAGACATGATAGAAATGAGAGAGCTGTTCAGCAGCGGAACTCTGTGCCCCAGKGTGTGGAAGAGGCTCATTCTTTGGAAACTTTTAAACAGAAGCTTTTAAATTGAATGCAATTTTCCTGCTTCTTGGCAGAATGGGGTTGGACTGGATGGCCCATGAGGTCTCTTCCAACTCTATGATTCTATGATTCTAAATGGTAGAAATGGTAGGAACGAATTTTGATCACATGCCTAATACACACATGCTCTGTTAACAAAGTCAGTTTTGCACCTGACTTACTTTACTTCCATTTCAAGGTATCTTTTTAAAGATCCTTCTCACAGAAACTCATGCTCAAGATGTGGCATTTATCATTTTTATCTTTCGAAACATATAGCACGATTTCATTGTAACGGGTCATTTTTTGAAACCATCAGAACTACTGCACAATGCATTTTGGAAGCTGCATCGCTAAAAGGTAGAATGGGCAACAGACACACAACCAATTGGCAGGAAGATGAAACAGAAGTGCGGTTAGGAGAGCCAACAAAACACATGTTGTGTCCTTGTTTCAACTAGAAATTGTGGGAGAGGTTCATATGTTCTGCTGGGACCCCATCCACCAAAGTGTAAAGCTCACACATGGTTTTGATGGAGAATTTAAAAAAAGATCACAACAGAGAGAGAGATTGTTTCATCGATCGAGGAACAAAGAGACATGGAAGGCTTTTTCTCTGGGTTTGATGGCCAAGTCCCTCTTTGAAATGTACTGCAAAATGGGGAGGGAGCACTGAATCAGCTTGTTTGGCTCAATCCTAAAGGCAATCCCTCCACAAAAAAACACACACACCACTATTTGAAAATGTTTCAAGTAGAATATCCATTTTGTCACATGCGGTTTCCATTTATCTCTCCAAACACTGAGACGAGAAAGCAGCCGCAGCTTGCTTTGCTGTCGGACTTTGTCGCCGTTCCTTTTAATTCATGCATCTCGATCCTCCTTCTCATCAAAGCAAATTATTTCAGGTCAAAGAATAAAGTCCTTCAGTTGCAGAGCGTATCTGACCAAATACCACTAATAAAAATAATATCAATCTTCTGTTTTGTGGAGCAGAATGAATTAATTTTCGAGAACTGCCTTGACTGAGGCAGAGCATTTGTGCGGCTTTCCGTTTTGTTTTCCAAAGCTTTCTTTCCCCAGATTGATTGGGATTCATATTGTGTTACCAGGAAGGGGGAAAATAATCTATTTGCTTTTTTCATCAACCTAATTTAAATTAAGGCCTGGTTAGATTGAGCTTTATACCTGGGTGCATGGCATAAACACGGCACTGAAGAGTTTGAGACCGAGCCAAGATTCAGGCAGCAGATGGTCAATTAAACAAGTGAACGATTTACTTAAAGCCTGGAGTTAGAAAAAGATTACATTTAGCGGAAAGACAAAGGCAGGACAATGGCACATGATAGGTTTTTTAAAAATGGTGAATGATAAGGAAAATGTTTTCCTCCTCCATCGAGTGGGATTGAGCAAAGTCCAGTTTGGACAAACAACTTGAAGTATTCAATGTATTGTCGAAGGCTTTCATGGCTGGAATCACTGGGTTGTTGTAGGTTTTTCCGGGCTATATGGCCATGTTCTAGAGGCATTTTCTCCTGACATTTCGCCTGCATCTATGGCAAGAATCCTCAGAGGTAGTGAGATCTGTTGGAAGTAGGAAAATGGGTGTATATATCTGTGGAAAGACCAGGGTGTGACAAAGGACTTTTGTCTGCTGGAGCTAGGTGTGAATGTTTCAACTGAAAGATTCTCCCAGGCACTTCCAAGCCATTAAATGCTAATCAAGGTGGTCAGTTGAAACATTCACACCTAGCTCCAGCAGACAATAGTCCTTTGTCACACCCTGGTCTTTCCACAGATATATAAACCCATTTTCCTACTTCTAGTTGTAATTGCAATGTTTTATATGGTTATATGTTTAATGCTCTTAAGCTCATTCAAATTTTAATTAAAATATTTATTTAATGGTATATTGAATGTATATTGTTTTTAAGGCATTGAATTATTGCCTATGCCAGTGTTTCTCAACCTTCCTAATGACGTGACCCCTTAATACAGTTCCTCATGTTCTGGTGAACCCCAACCATAACATTATTTTTGTTACTACTTCATAACTGCAATTTTGCTGTTGCTATGAATCATAATGTAAATATCTGATATGCAGGATGTATTTTCATTCACTGAACAAAATTTGGCACAGATACCCGATTCACTCAAATTTGAATACTGGTGGGGTTGGGGGGCGGATTGATTTTGTCATTTGGGAGTTGTAATTGCTGGGATTTATAGTTTGCCTGCAATCAAAGAGCATTCTGAACTCCACCAACTATAGAATTGAACCAAACTTAGCACACAGAACTCCCATAACCAACAGAAAATACAGGAAAGGTTTCCCCCTTAACCTTAGACATTATGTCTTTTTTTAACTTTACTTCTTTACATCTTTACATCTTATCTAAAGTCGCTGACTTTTTTCTTACTTTTTTCTATACTCTTATACCCCTCTTCTTTTTCTCCCGCCTCTGTCCTTCTATTGTATTTTATCAGCATAAAAGTGTACTTTGTGTGCTTTTATCTAAAAAACGAAATAAAGATTTTTTTTTAAAAAAGAAAATACTGGAAAGGTTTGGTGGGCATTAACCTTGAGCTTGGGAGTTGTAGTTTACCAACATCTAGAGAGCACTGTGGACTCAAACAATGGTGGTTCTGGACCAAACTTGGCATGGATATTCAATATGCCCAAATGTGAACACTGGTGGAGTTTGGGGAAAATAGATCTTGACATTTGGGAGTTGTAGTTGCTGGGATTTATAGTTCACCTACAATCAAAGCGCATTCTGAACCCCACAGGTTGGGAACCACCCACACAGAACCCCCATGACCAACAGAAAATACCGTGTTTTCTGATGGTCTTTGGCGACCCCTCTGGCACCCCCTTGTGCCCCCCCCCAGGGGTCCCGACCCACCAGGTTGAAAAACATTGGGCTATGTTCTCTGCACATTGCACTTACCCTGAAATCCAACATACCACCTGTCACACCCAGCACTTTTTAATCTGTACCCATTACTTGACCCGGCCCTAGTTTTTATTGTGTTATGGTGTAATGTTTTGTTGTTCTACTGTTATTGCTTTATGTTTTTGATTTTGCTTTGAGTTGTATTTGTTATGCTGTTGTTTTGTTGAGGCCTTGGCCTTTGTAAGCTGCATCGAGTCCTTCGGGAGATGCTAGCGGGGTACAAATAAAGTTTAATAATAATAATAATAATAATAATAATAATAATAATAATAATAATGTTGTAAGCCGCCTGGAGTCCCCCTCGGGGTTGAGAAAGGCGGGATATAAATATGGTTAATAAATAAATAAACAGTGAGAAAACAGAGAAATTACAGACAGGAAATAATCAGGGCCACCACCCAACAAAGGATTCCCCCAGGCAGGAAGCAGCCAGGCTTTGAAGCTGCAAGGCCATTCAGTGCTAATCAAGGTGGCTAATTGCAACATTCACACTTGCCTTGAACAGACAAGAATTCTTTCTCCCACCCTGGACATTCCACAGATATATAAACCCCACTTGCCTAGTTTCCAACAGACCTCACAACTTCTGGGGATGCTTGCCATCGATGAGGAGGCATTTAGGTGCTTATCATAAGGAAGTCATTCACAAGCCACTTGGAGGATTAACTCGCTCTTACCTGTTGCACTATGGTTGTTAGTTCCAGGCACAGTTGAACAATGTTATTTTTCAGCAGTGAGTATTCTGTCACGCTGACAAATGGAGACCTATGAGGAAGGAGGGAGCCGTTTGTTAAAAAAAGTTACATGAGTGTTCTCATTTACAATTCCTGTAATCAGGCTAACATCATAATGAATATGTACTAGTCATATTTCCTACAAGCAGGCTGTGATTAATGGCTGTGCACACACTGATTTGTTCAATTTTGAACAGCGCTAATGGAAATATGCCAAACTATCAGCAATCCAGACAGAGGAGGCGGGTGCCTACAAGCGTCACTCAACTGGCGACGGGGAGGCTTGCAACGTAATGTTAATACTGTACAAGAACCAGGATTAAAAGATCTTGGCTTCGAATCTTACGAGCAGGCCGTGAAAATAGAGCAAGAAGGAATTTTGTGTGTCTTCTCCATTCATGCAGAATGAGGACTGGTTCACGCCTAGTTATGGCTCATTGATTCCTATGGGATGGCCAAAGAGTTCTTTTCCGTCATTCTTTTGGGTTTCTGACCTCCAATTAGTTCTACTTGACTTACATTCTGATTAAAATACTGGATTTTCGGAGGTCAAGAGCACAGTTTAGAACAGGCATGGGCAAACTTCAGTCCTTCAGTCCTTCAGGTGTTTTGGACTTTCAAAGCAGGCTGTTAGGCATTGTGGGAGTTGAAGTCCAAAACACTTAGAGGACCCATCGCTGTAGAATGGATGCATTCCGACACCTGTCATGGTTCAATTCTATGGATGTATGTATTTATTATTTTATTTACAGTATTTATATTCCGCCCTTCTCACCCTGCAGGGGACTCAGGGCGGATTACAATGTACGTATACATGGCAAACATTCAATACTATAGACACACAACATTCAGTAGGCTGTTAGGAATTGTGGGAGTTGAAGTCCAAAGCACCTGGAGGGCTGAAGTTTGCCCATGCCTGGTCTATACTGTAAGTCAGAGATGGGATGGGGAGATGGATTGCACCCCCAACCCTTCTGTGGTCAGATGACCCATTGGAAGCACTGGCACTTAACTAGAACGATGACTAATCTAAGTCCCATTGACTTCAGTGGGTCTCCTCTAAGTTGAGATGCAGTCCCTTATGGATCTCTCTCAATTTCCCTCTCTCTCTCTCATTCAAGCAAACAGCTTGCAAATTGAAATTACAATTGCAATATATCTGGTGGGATCGGTAGAATGTTTGGAAGGTCCACGTTGCATACCTTCAACAAATCCCAGATCTCCATAAAATGTATGTACGTATTTATTTATTTACAGTATTTATATTCCACCCTTCTCACCCCGCAGGGGACTCAGGGCAGATTACAATGTACATATACATGCTATAGACACTAAACATATATAGACAGACACACAGAAGCTATTTAACATTCCAGCTATTTCATGAGGGCATTCTGGCCACTAGGGGAGCTGTCGCTTCACCGTCCATTTGTGACACTGATGAAGTACTTCCTCATTCTTTGCATGCTTGCTGGAGATTTTTATGGCATCGTAAATTAGTTAAATTAGCCTCCCCGCATACGCGGTACCTAAATTTCCTACTTGACAGATGCAACTGTCTTTTGGGCTGCAAAGGTTGACAGCAAGCTACACAAATTGGTCAAAAGCTCACTCCGACCCAGGCTGGCTTCGAACTCATGACCTTTTAGTCAGTAGTGATCTTAATGCAGCTGACTCCCAGCCAGCTGCGCCACAGTCCTGGTGCAAGGTATAGTTTTACGTTTATATATATGGCAGGTATCATTTTATATTTATAGCCCCCCTATGCTAAAGAGTTTCTGGGACCCAAGCCCATGCTTGATCAAGTGGTCTCTGGTCAAAAAAAAAAGGTTGGGAACTATTGGTCTAGATCCAGGGAAGTCATGCTACCCCTCTATTCTGCCTTGCTCAGACCACACCTGGAACCCTACTGTGTCCAATTCTGGACACCACAATTTAAGGAAGACATTGACAAGCGGGAATGTGTCCAGAGGAGAGTGACTAAAAAAAATCAAGGGTCTGGAGAACAAGTCCTATGAGAGGTGGCTAAAAGAGCTGGGCGTGTTTAGCCTGTGGAAGAGAAGGCTGAGAGGAGACACAATGAGGGCCATGAATCAAGATGTGAGGGGAAGTCATAGGGAGGAGGGAGGAGCTTGTTTTCTGCTGTCCTGGAGACTAGGAAGCAGAACAATGGCTTCAAACTACAGTGAAGAAAGGAGATTCCACCTGAACATGAGGAAGAACTTCCTGACTGTGAGAGTTGTTCAGCAGTGGAACTCTCTGCCCCAGAGTGTGGTAGAGGCTCCTTCTTTGGAGGCTTTGAAACAGAGGATGGTTGGCCATCTGTCAGGGGTGCTTTGAATGAGATTGTCCTGATGGTTGGCAGAATAGGGTTGGTAGACGGCCCACGAGGTCTCCTCTAACTCTAAGATTCTATTATTCTAATTTATGCACAGAAGACAACCTTTTGCACCACTTGGAGTTTTCTTTATGGAGTAAAAAATGGGGTATACATAAACATAATAACGTTCTGGAGAGGAATATTCAAAAAATTGTATTTTCTGCACAGAAAGTGCTATTTTCAGCACAAAACCTAGAGCCCCCGGTGGCGCAGTGGGTTAAACCCCTGTGCCGGCAGGACTGAAGACCGACAGGTTGCAGGTTCAAATCCAGGGAGAGTGCGGATGAGCTCCCTCTATCAGCTCCAGCTCCTCATGTAGAGACATGAGAGAAGCCTCCCACAAGGATGGTAACACATCAAAACATCCAGGCATCCCCTGGGCAATGTCCTTGCAGACGGCCAATTCTCTCACACCAGAAGCGACTTGCAGTTTTCTCAAGTCACTCCTGACATGACAATAAAATAAAATAAAAAAGCGCAAAACCTTACATGTGAATATTGCAAAAACAACTCCCCAATTGCGAATTGTCTTCCAAAACAGCACAGTTTTCAAAGACTTTCTCTCGGTTTGGGTGAAAATGGCTACAATTACTCATTGGTCCCATTAAGAACAAAATAAGTAAATTAATGCATGTCTAACACAGACAAAAAAAATTAAATGTGACTGTATAAAACAGTTACAGAAGGGAAGCTGTGAGGGCAATTTAGGGAAAAACTTGCAAATCAAACATGGGCGCCCAGAAACAATTTAGTCCTATTCAATAAACTTAGCCAAGAGGTGGGCAGCGTGATGGAGCAGCTATTTGTTTGACGGGATAATTATTTTCCCTATTGCATTTTAATAATTTCTTTTCTGCCTACGGAGCCTCTCAATACATTTCAAAATTGCTTCGACACTATTAAGTGAATGCCAAGATGCCTATAAGCTTTCTTAACACATCCTTTCCCCAACTTGGGTGAACGCAGGCTAAAATCAGGTGCACTGCTATTATCTGGCATTAGGGCCCAGAAGTCCCAAAAGGAGCAACTTCTGGACCGATATGCAATATGTGGCCCATGTAGACGGGCTCAAAGAGAGATGTAGACAAGTGAAAACCCCATGTGATCCATATGGTAGATAATTCAGGCCAAAAAATATTCAAAAGTCCTGAACACATTGCTTTTGCTGGAGCCTACCCAAGGCGAGCTCTCCACTTCTGAGTTAACCGAGTGCAACACACATTTGCATTTTGAACTCAGTTTGCTGTAATTGAAGTAAGCTGAGAAACAGCAAGGAAAGTGGGAGGAGAACAAAGAAACTGGGACACTTCCATAGATGCATAGACTGCATGGACCATCCAGTCCAGCCCTCCTCTGCCATGCAGGAAAAGCAACATCTAAGTACCCCTGACAGATGGCCATCCAGCCTCTGTTTAAAAGCCTCCAAAGAAGGAGTTTCTACCAGACTCTGAGGCAGAGAGCTCCACTGTTGGACAGCTCTCAAAATATGAGGGTTGAATGAAAAGTAATGCCTCCACCTTCACAACTCCTCAACAGATGGCAGTACTGGTATGCGGCAGGTACTGGCTTGTTCAGTAGACTCTCCTCTACAGTTCCATTTACATGGGAAGCCTTAGAATTGAATGGTTGTGTTGTTAAAGTGAGAAGTATGGAACCCAGCACAGACTTTCGGTCAATGCGACTTAAGAAATGTGCAGTCATTGAATTCTTGACAGCAGAAGGTGTCACCTCGAATAAGATTAATCAGAGAATGGAAGCTGTTTATGGTGATTGTTTTAATGTGAGTACTGTGCATTGTTGGGCAAATACGTTTAAAGATGTTGAGGTGACACTTTCTGCTGTCAAGAATTCAATGACTGCATGTTGCTTAAGTCCCATTGACCAACCATCTGCACAGGGTTCCATACTTTGCACTTTAACAATACAACCATTCAATGCTAAGGCTTCTCACCCAAATGGAACTGTAGAGGAGAGTCTACTGAACAAGCCAGTACCTGCCGCATACCAGTACTGCCATCTTTTGAGGAGTTACGAATGTGGAGGCATTACTTTTCATTCAACCCTCATAAGAAAGTTTGCCCTAATGTTCAGGTGGAATCTCTTTTCCTGTCATTTGAACCTATGGCTCCATTGAATCCTTATCTCCAGGGAAGCAGATCCTGCTCTCTCTTCCTTATGACATCCTTTCAATAATAATAATAATAATAATAATAATAATAATAATAATCTTTATTTATACCCCACTACCATCTCCCCAATGGGGACTCAGAGCGGCTTACATGGGGCCAAGCCTGGACAACATATTACACCATATTTATACATGGCTCTCATGTCTCCTCTCAACCTTCTCTTCTGCAGCTAAACATCTCCAGCTCTTTAAGCCGCTCCTCAGAGGGATTCATGTCCTCCAGATCTTTGATCATTTTAGTCACCTTCTGCTGGACACCTTCCAGCTTAGAGTCAATATCTCTCTTGAATTGTGGTTCCCAGAATTGAACACACTGTGATTCCAGTTGAGGTCGGACCAAAACGGAATAGAGGGGCACCATTACTTTCCTTGATCTAGACACTATACTCTTTCCTTTTGATGCAACCCAAAATACCATTGGTTTTTTTAACTGCTGCATCACACTGACTCATATTCAACTTGTCCACGAAGACACCAAGATCTTTTTCGCTTGGACTGTTGTCGAATTAGGCGTCACCCATTCTGTATCGCTACATTTCATTTTTTTCTGCCTAAGTGATGTATTCTACACTTCCCCTTGCTGAAATTAATTTTGTTAGTTTTGCCTCAGCTCTCTAAACTCTCGAGGTCATTTTGAATTCTGATTGTGTCTTCTGGAGTATTTGCGCTCCCTCCCAATTTGGTGCCATCTCCAAGCTTGGTTGGCAGCACACCCTCTAAACCTCATCCAAGTTTTTGGGAGGGAATGAGCTCTTGCACACAAGTCTTGCTTCCTTTGGGCAAAAGGCTGGGCTAGAGGGTCCCTTGGCTTGATCTAGCATGGCTGCTTTTAACGTTCTTATCTCAGTGGCTCTCGCTTCTGTCACAAAGAGGATTGCAGAGGGACTTACCTGTCCAGCCAGGCAAGCAAGTTCTTGGCAGCACCAATCAGGTCAACCACAGAGGTAAGGAAATCGTTTGGCAGTCGTCGGGAGGCCCTGCCATCGTAATGGCCGCTCCTCCGTCTACCCGTTATGAAGTTCTGAAGGTTTTTGGCCGAGGCGTTCAGCTTGTGGGAAAGAGTCCTCAGGTTTTCCGTCTCCAAGCCATAGTTCTGAAAGCAAACAAGAAGTGGGGCATGCTTTAAAAAGCAGGGAAGCGACCTCTATAATGATGATGATGATGATGATGATGATGATGATGAATGTTATTACTATCCCAAAATTGGGAATTAATACAGTTTACAGTTTGAAAAAACAATACAGCTAAAACAAATAAAAAGTGAGCATTTTTGTAGACTGTTCTAACAAAATTCAAACCTCAAGTAACAAAAGATGAAAATGTAATCCTAAAATAGGTTTAAAAGCTCTTGAAAATTGCTGTCTTTTTCAGAGTCATCTATAAACGCTTCTTCCCATCACTCTGTCGGGTTTCTTGATATATTTTACAATATCTTTAAATAAGGAAACAATGTTTTCAATATTTATGTATATGTTGAAGTGTTTGTCTAAATGTGAAGTTATAATATTTTGAATGCCTGTCTAGGATTTCAATACAAAATTTGGAAAAGTGCAATACCCTTCCAGCTGTAGTTGCATGTTACCAATATGAAAGTAAACTAGCAAACTGCACCCCCCCCCCCACCACCACCACCAAAACACAAACAAACCAAGATTGAAGGCTATGGTTTAATTCTGATTTGCAGAACTTGTGCAAACTCTCATGGCTCATAGCCAGAAATTCGTTTCCACTGCTGCCTATCACCATTTTGAATGAGACTGCCAAAGAAAACATGTTTAGTACAGTCTCTGTAAATGCCAAAGAGTTATAATGTTTGCATATTTGTAGACTTTAAAATACATTGAAATGCTTTTAATATAAGCCAATTAGAGTCTCCTTTGTGGGGTGTAAATAAACATAAAAATAAACACAATATATGTAATAATAATAATAATAATAATAATAATAATAACTACTCTCAAGCAACTAGAAATGACATCTATCCAGCATGCCATGGATACAATGGGTTAACTGAGAGTCTAATGTATTTGGAATAGTACAGAGTTCTGGGGTGCTTATACAGTTTTGCTTTATTTTCAACTGTTGTTTGGGTGAGCTTCTGTATGCGTTGGGGACAAAAATTGCAGGAAATCATGCTAAATATTTAATATTTACAGAAATTGGATTTTTGAGGAACTGGCTAGTTCAGGGGCCATAAAAGTGGGCCCCACTGTTCCTATCAATGGCCCACCAGAGTCTTAAACTTATGATACAGAGAGCCATTTAAGGCTTGATACCTAAAAAGCCTTACAGTGATTAAATATTGCATACTCTTTACAAAGGTGAGACTAAATGTATTTCCCTCAGATCTGCTAATAGGCAGATTGCCTGGAATTCCTTACTCCCAAAGACTATGTCCCTGTGAAGGAAAGGAAGTAGAAACAATAGAACACATTTTATTTCAGTCCCGCTATTATACAGTGCAATGTAGTCAACTTTTATATCCAATTTTGTCCCACATGACCAGCCATCCCCTGCAGAGTATTGTCAGATATCTTTTAGGGGACAAATACCACAGTGGCAAAATTCCTTGCAACAGTGGCAACAAGGATGAGAAAGAAACCAACCTCCAATATGGGTATTACTTGAAATCATGCATATGTTGTTTGTACAATGAATATGCCATCGCGCCTGGGGGCTATAACTCTTAGTGAAAGAAACATAGACATGACATCTTTCCCCCAGGGGATTGCTTCTTGCCTTCCTTTAAAGAACCCAAAATAGGTTTTACTGTTCACAAAGAGTTATCCCTTTAAGGCAATAAGCTGGAAGTTTCAAAGGGGTAAAAGAAATATACATTACAGTCTCTGGTTGCCTTGGGTCCAAGGAGATTTCGCAGCTGAGAAGCTTTTTAAGGTTCCCTCTTTCTCAATGGCTGCAAATGCCTGAACATTCACAGCCCCAATCCAAATGGCCTATATTTGAAGACACTAAGCCTTCCTCTGGTGCCACAGGACCGGTTTGAAGGTGCTTGTCCAGGGCGATCTGGGCATGAAGCATAAGTCCCAAGGGTAAAAACCTTAGAATTGGTGATGAGAGGTAACTTAATTAAGGGCTTTAGAGCCAAGTCTCTTTCTCACGTCTATCTGATAGAAAGTTTGATGGTAGAATGGAAAAGGAAAAGCTCTGCCCTCCTCCAGGAAGAGGTGGAGCCAAGCAATTGAGCTGAGGAAGCAATATAACTGGTGCAAACAACATTGATTGACAGCTATAAATAACCAATCAATCAATCCAACTATACATTTACAAACTAGGCAAGTTTGGGCATGTTATACAGTTTAAACCTTTGCATTTTAAAGTTCTACACACAAATGGCGCCACTTGCGCCGTCACAATGAATGTCTCCTGAGATAGGAAAATTTATTAATGTTTACTGATGGGTCTATGGACCATAACAAAAATTGTTATTGTCATTGTTCCCATCAGTGTCTCTTTTGCCCACTCCATTTTAAAGGCTCACACTGAAGTCACTTTGGTAAGAAACTGTAAGTCTGGTTTTATTTTGGAAATACAGACTATCTTCCTGATTTTGAAATTCTAAAACAACCATATGAATAATGCAATTTCAAGTGACTCCACAGTGGAAATGGCCACAACCACCACCGATAAGGGGTTGTTTGACAAAGCAGAGGAATTGATTATAATGAGCAAACTGTTTATGCAAATTGGGTCTGCTTTGCTCCCCAATTTCAAGGATGATTTCTTGGGAAAATGATTCTGGTGCCTGGTATATTTTGACACTCCGAAAGGGGGATATGTGAAAGGCTTACTAAACTCTACATCACACCCACACCTACGCATACTGTATCGGAGGCATTTGACTTGGATCTCCTTTTAAGAGCCATTGTACTCAAACGGTGGCGCGAGCTTTGCAGTTGGAACGCATTTGATCTCGGAGGCCTCTTTTGTAATTACTCTTGTTTCATTTGAAAATTCTTCAAAGGAATAACATGGGACATATTGAAGTTTATGGAGTCAAAAACTAATAGCACAAATCAGCAAAGGACCCCAAAGTGCAGGCTGTTAAAAGCCAGTTGGCGTTACCCATTTCCCTTGTCTCAAGGCAAGGAAGAACAAAAGATTACACACATAACACCAATTAAAAGAGCATATAAAAGCCATACACATTAAAACAATGCATATTTAAACGTTCATCCTTTAGAAATCATCTGAATAGGCCTATCCTTTTTAAATCCTTTGAAAGGATTCTTCACATCATTTTTTGTTTATGTACCTTCGAGTCATATTCAGTTTTTGGAGACCCTAAGGTTGGATCTGTTATAGGGTTTTCTGGGTCTGAGAGCGTGTGGTTCACCCAGTCGGTTTCCATTGCAAAGCAGTGAATTGAACCCTGGTCTACAGAGTCATAGGCTGGATATACACTGCCATATAATCCAATTCAATGCAGATAATCTGAATGAGGCTTGCACAACATATGTTCCGCAGCCCATATGTGGCCTGCGAAAGCCTTCGGTCTGGCCCGTGGGTGAGGTCATGGCAGCGTAGATGGGACCTAACATATATGCATTTCTTCTGTTGAAAGAACTACCTTGAGTGACATGGACTGGAAAATTTCCCAGTTTTGGCAAAATGCCATAACTTTTTGGAAAATGTGAATCTCCATAATAACCATTTGGAAAATAGGATTCATAACCTTTTTGGAAAACCACTAATCACTGGAAAGGCATGGCCTTGTTAGAAGTCACAATCTTAATGATGATGATGATGATGATGATGATGATGATGACAACACGATATGAAGATTTAAAGATCGAACTCCAAAGACTCTGGCACAAGGCAGTAAAGGTGGTCCCAGTGGTGATCGGCACACTGGGTGCAGTGCCTAAAGACCTTGGCCTGCACTTAAACAGAATTGGCGTTGATAAGATTACCATCTGCCAGCTGCAGAAGGCCACCTTACTGGAATCTGCACGCATCATTCGCCGATCCATCACACAATCCTAGACACTTGGGAAGTGTGTGACGTGTGATCCAATACAACAGCCAGCAGAGTGTCTGCTGTGGACTCATCTTGTTGTGTTTCAAATCATCATCATCATCATCTATTTCTATTCTGCTCTATCTCTCCAAAGGGGCTCAGGGCAGATTCCAAATATAAGAAGCAAACATTCAGTGCTCGAATACAACAACAATACATTCAAACTAAAACAATTTAAGCAACCAATCCAACATATAAACCTTTGAAAAGTGATGTTCACCAGCATTCATGCAAGGCAACTAGGTCTCTCAGCTGTTAAAGTGATGTACCTTGGTATGTCTTTGAACTGCTAGGGACAAAGACATGCCAATGCACAAAAATATATATTCAGCAGAATTTTAGAAGTGTTGTTTGAAGTTGCCCAAAAACATCTACTCTTTCTTAAAATATATTTACCTTTAAATCATGCTCTCAAGAGACAAAATAAACAGTCCTCTTTAAGAGTAACAGAGTTGGTTTACTCACAAAACTTCATGTATGCACTTTGCTAATGAATCCAGTTACAATAGGATTTTAGGTAGTTGCTCTGTGTAAGTAACACAGGGCCTCTTTCTTATAATCAACAGTCCAACATCTCTCTAATAGTCTCTGTCTACTCCAATTGAGTCTCTAAGCATACTGTTCCTACTGAAGTCTAAAGCATACTTCTACATTTAAGTCTCTAAGCACACTGTTTCTAAATGGAGTCTGAGTCCTGAACAAGCCCAGACCTGATCACATGGTCTGCAGCCCCTTTCACAACAAAGTGTTAAAGAAAAACTGCAAATCAATACACATATACACAATACAGTAAGCAATCTGTATCATATGCATAACAAATAACTAGTGGAAGCTTGAAGGTTACTACTTCCAACATAACATATGTGCATTTCATAGAATCATAGAATCAAAGAGTTGGAAGAGACCTCATGGGCCATCCAGTCCAACCCCCTACCAAGAAGCAGGAATATTGCATTCAAAGCACCCCTGACAGGTGGCCATCCAGCTTCTGTTTAAAAGCTTCCAAAGAAGAGGCCTCCACCACACTCCGGGGCAGAGAGTTCCACTGCTGAACG